TGCCAGCCTGATTGTCCCTAACCACTTCTGCCTCAGTCCTGCCACCATGGCTTTGTCCAAAAGGATGTCCAGAAGGTCTCCCCGTCTAATTAGCATATTACCCTTTTATTAGTATAGATAGGATGTAACTGCAGTATGATGTAATATCTGCTGATAAAAAACTAAGGTTAAGAAAATCATAAATTCTAAAAGAAACAAATCACACTTGTATATTAATTGAGAGGGAGATGAAAAGAGATCAGGGAACTCACAAAACACACACACACACACACACACACACATACACACACGCCTTCCAACTTCCAATATCACAATTGTCTAATTATATTCCAATTTTGGTTCAGTCAACATTGTGAGAGAAATGGGTATTTTAATACAATTTATGACTATTTCAATACCAATTCAAACAATAGGTGTATAGTATATTATGCTTTCATGTCATCCTTTAATAATATTTTGTTTCTTCTGAAGTTATTTGATGCGTTTCTTTTTGGTTTCCCAATTTCCTACCTGCTTATCATTATTTCTTACTCAGGTGCTCTTCACAGTTTCATTTCATCAGATCTTCTCAAACCCCATCACCATCACTTGCCCTCACCCCTCACCCTACCAACATACCTCATACATTTTGGAGTCTCATCATCTAAACTAGTCTATATTGGAGTTTCTAGGTGTGCTGTTCATTTTCATCCTGAGACATCCCTTATGATCATCTTTGGGATTCCTTCATCTCTATCCTGATTGGATACAAAATTCTGAATTTCATATTTTAGTTGATGCTTTCTTTATGTAGATGATATCATATAATTCTGTCGCTCTTAATAGTTTTATATATTTTTTTTACTATTTGAAAATGCTATTATTCAACCCTGTGATTTATTAATTTTCTGACTGATTCTTGATATTTGTCATATCTTTATACTTTGGGGAGCTCTTAAGACCTACTATTTAGCGACCTTAGCATATCATTAGCATATTACACTTTATTTGGTTGAACAACCAACCAGACACTTAGCATAGTAGGCTTTTATTATATAGGATTACCTTCTCTCTTTTTCTTATATTTTTAATTTCTGCATATATTATTGAATTGGAACACTAGATTTTATGTCATATTTTCTAAAATGTTTCCTTTTCTGTTTTGTCTTTTTAAAAAAATTCCTAAACCTTCTCTTCTAATTATTCTTTTTTAAAATTATAATAATAATATTTTAATTTTAGGAGATATTTCTTATTTTCTAAATTCTTCTTTTATAACATCCCAGTATTTTTTCTCAGCTGAAATATCTCCATTTATCTCTGGTTAGTTTTCTAAGCTTTTTCTTTTTCTCTGAGCCCCTTGATTGTCTCTGTTTACATGTTGTTCAGTTTTTCTTTTTGAGTATTTTGGGTTTGGTGTCTTGTATTGAAGACTTTTCTCAAATGTCTGATGATCTGAAAACCTCCATTTATATTTAAGATAAACCTTTTTGAAACTGATTAGGTCATAAGCGTGGGTTGGGCTTGTGAACTTGTGGCTCCCCTGTGGAGGATGCGACTTATCAAGTCATTAAGAAAACCCTATACAAGCAACAAGCCCACATCTCTGTACTGACTTCCTTTATTGAAAGGATGTCACTGGGGGAGAGGGGAAATGAAGGCAAGTGACCTGGTCAAGTTAATCAATCTGAATTCTAAGTAAACAGACTAGTGATATTTGCTAGGATTAAGAGAGCTTAACTTGGAAATATCCTTAGCAGGATGTTCCTAGCTGAGGGTAATCTATAGTAAATAATAGCCAAGGATCTATGAAGCATTGCTCCCTGGTGGATGTCACATGGATTACGTGTTTGGAATAAAATATAGAGATTTGTGATAATTCTTTTTTTAAATCTTATTGTTGAAAGTATTACAGATGTCTCCTTTTCCCCCATTGTCCTCTTCTAGACCACACCTGCCCCCCTACCCAGGCTTTCATCACAGTATTGTCTGTGTTTATGGGTTATGCACATATGTACACAAGTTCTTAGGTTAATCTCTTCCTACCCACCCTTCCTTCTGATACTCAACAGTCTGTTCCATGTTTCTGTGTCTCTGGATCTATTTTGTTCATTGATTCTATTTATATGATATATCTAGAGTAGTCAGATTCATAGAGAGATAAAGCAGAATGGTGGTTACCAGGGCCTGGGGAAAGAGGAGAATTGAGCATTAGTACTGGTATTTAATGGGTAGGGAGGTTCAGATTGGGGGGGGGGGAGTTCTGGAGGTGAAGGGTGGTGATGCTTGCACAACAATGAGAATGTTCTTGATGTCACCAAACTGTACACTTTAAAATTATTAAAATAATAAAATTGTATGTTATGTATATTTTACTATAATAAAATATGAATGGGAAGA